ACACACACACACACACACACACACACACACACACACACACACACACACAAACCCCTCCAATAGTGTGCGCGAGCACACACATCACGGCGCGAGGAAGCCAGCAGACGATTGTGCGTGGGTGTGTGTGTGTGAGAGAGAGAGAGAGGGGCCAATTCATGATGTGCGAGAGCAACTCGCTGTGCGTGACCCTCCGCCTTGCTTCGCAAAGGAATCGCTCTCGCACATCAAGAGATGGAGGAATCTCGACCGAATCCAGCAAAGCGAAGCGGAGGAAAACAGGAGTCAATGGAGGACCCAAAAAAAAAGAAAACACCAGAAAAAAAGAAGGAAAAGAAAAATAGAACACAACAAGAGAGGGAGAGAGAGACAGACATGCGTCAAACAACAGCGCTCAAACTGTGAGTGAACGCGAGACAGACTGCTCTCTCTCTCTCTCTCTCTCTCTCTCTCTCTCTCTCTCTCTCTCTCTCTCTCTCTCTCTCTCTCTGCAAAAGGCGGTCCTCAACGCGGGAGCGAGAGAACTGTTATTTTCTACCCATCCCTTCTCCGCCGCCCTCGGGATGCACCCGACCGGGTCTGGATGCACCTGACTGCAATTACGTCCACAGAGGTGGAAAAAGTCCTAGTGTGAGTATCCCCTGAGTCGCGGAAGTCTGTCTCTCGAAGTAAAGCAGATCGCACTTCTCAAGTTTTAACAAATCACTGTGCTCTCCTGCTGGACGTGTGTGCTTTTTTTTAAAAAAGCTTTGAATCGCTTTTACAGTAAAAATCACTCTGCCCCTCTCCCGCTGGACGTGTGTGCTTTTTTTAAAAAATCGCTTTTAAAAGTCACTCTGCTCTCAATCGTTTCCTTCTTTCCTGCTCGTTTTGAATCTTTAAAAAAAGTTTTTTTTAAAATGCTTATATAGGAGCGCATAGGGCGTTGACCGACCGATCAAACAAACTCTGCCACGTGTCATTCGATCCGTAGTCCGCACTGAAATCACTACCACAGTCCTGCTGCGACCTACCAGAGGTAGTAATCACTTCCACAATGATGATCTAATTAAGCGCCGTCGGATTAGGTATGTTCGCACGAGATGGGGTGCGATCCATTCCGCACTGAAATTCATTTCGCTGAAGATTTTATTCATAGCAGCCTTGGAAAAGAGTAGAGGCTTTGATGCATCCAATCATCTCAGGAGGGGAAGGAGGGGAAGGGAAGGGGAAGGGGAAGGGGAAGGGGAAGGGAGAGTCCAATTAACGCGGTCCCGCTGTGTGTATGCGTGCGTGCATGTGTGTGTCGGTGTTGTGGTGGGGGCGGGATGGCGGGGAGCGGAGAAGGGGGGA